CCTTATTCTAAAATGGATTAAATAAATGTTTGTCCTCATCAATCTACACACAATACCCCATAATGACAAAGCAAAAATAGTTTTTTTAGAAATTATTGCAAGAAAATAAAAAATAAAAACCTTATTTACATAAGTATTCAGACCATTTGCTATGATACTCGAAACTGGGCTCAGGTGCATCCTGTTTCCATTGATCATCCTTGAGATGTTTCAACATCTTGATTGGAGTACACCTGGCCTTTATGGTAGAGTGGCCGGACGGAAGCCACTCCTCAGTAAAAGGCACATGACAGCCCACTTAGAGTTTGCCAAAAGGCACCTAAAGGACTCTCAGACCATGAGAAACAAGATTCTCTGGTCTGATGAAACCAAGATTGAACTCTTTGGCCTGAATTCCAAGCGTCACGTCTGGAGGAAACCTGGCACCATCCCTACGGTGAAGCATGTTGGTGGCAGCATCATGCTGTGGGGATGTTTTTCAGTGGCAGGGACTGGGAGACTAGTCAGGATCGAGGGAAAGATGAATGGAGCAAAGTACAGAGAGATCCTTGAGCGCTCACCAGCATTACGACCAGGAATACGGCTTTCCCGAATTGGATCCTTTGTTCGTAACCCCCAGGGCAATTTAACTTATTCCAGAGGCTGCTTCCAACAGGACAACGACCCTAAGCACACAGGCAAGACAACGCAGGAGTGACTTCAGGACAAGTCTCTGAATGTCCTTGAGTGGCACAGCTGAGCCCGGACCTGAACCCGATCGAACATCTCTGGAGAGACCTGAAAATAGCTGTGCAGCGACACTCCCCATCCAACCTGACAGAGCTTGAGAGGATCTGCAGAGAAAAATGGGAGAAACTCCCCAAATACAGGTGTGCCAAGCTTGTAGCGTCATACCCAAGAAGACTCCAGGCTGTAATCGCTGCCAAAGGTGCTTCAACAAAGTACTGAGTAAAGGGTCTGAATACTTATGTAAATGTGATATTTCCGTTTTGTTTTTTATACATTTGCAAACATTTCTAAAAACCTGTTTTTGCTTTGTCATTATGGGGTATTGTGTGTAGATTGATGAGGATTGTTTTGGTTTATCAATTTTAGAATAAGGCTGTAACGTAACAAAATGTGGAAAAAGTGAAGGGGTCTGAATACTTTCCAAATGCTCTGTAGCAGCAAGTGGCAAGGATTACCTAGTGGTGTATGCCTAGTGGTCTGGCAGCGTCTTGGGCGTTATTTAAAGGGTTGACTGTAGGGGATATTTGTGCTGTGGCGCGTTGGGCATCACCACACACTTTTGTGAGGTTTTATCGCTTGGATGTCACTGCTCCCAGTGTAGCCCACAGTGTGCTTACAGCTGGGACAGGAGAGGGTTATTAAGCAGCGTGCAATGTGTGCAATACCCAGACTAACACAGTTTGTGAGGTGGAGGTCTGGGTGGTCTGCCATGGGCCGTTTCATTTGATATCCGTTGGGGTCAGCTTGGGGCGTGAATTCCCCATAGTTGTGTTGTACCGAGAGTACTGACTGAAAGGGAACATACCGTTATGACTATAACTACTGTTCCTTGAAGGAGGGGAACAAGGTACAGTACCTCTTTGGCCCCACGTCGACCGGTTCTGGGCACGTTGAAGAGCGGTACTGGGTTGAAGGAATGAATCCGAGCCTGAGGCTTATCACCTGTGTAAGTCAGGGCTTCAAGCGAGGCGTGGATTTCATTGGCCTTGTCAGGCGTGATTTTAGTTCTTCAGTCGAAGTCGTGAGAGTGCGACTCTCCATAGTTGTTGCACCTCGTTTCCCATCCTTCAGGGAACAGTAGTTATAGTCATAACGTTACGTTTTCCCATGCATGCCAACGGTTTCAGTGCTAAAAATCTATAGAAACAATGTGACAGAGTTCAAACACACATACACACTCACAAAGTGCAACAAAGTTGTCAGTGGTGATTGGTGGTCATGCCCATCCAACTTAGTACTGAACATCAAAGTTGAAAATGTATCAGGCTATGAACACACCCACACACACTGCCCACAACACAACAAAGGTCAATGGTAATGTGTGTCCATTCGGTCCAGTGGAGACTGCAACAGGAAAGTCAATAACCAGTACAGCATAGTGTGAGTACTGAGAGTGGAGAGGCTTGTGTTGTTATTGTCTGTAGCATTACAGCGTGATACTACAGTGGGGTATACTACAACGCAGATTCAAATTCAAACACATATCAAAGTTTAGCTTTCTTAATAAACCAGAAAATCCATAGTTATTTATGGTTGTTCATCAAAGTTAGCTGATTAACTAATTGAACCTGGGGTGTATACAACAAAGCAGGATCAATGAGTTAGCCAGCTAACTTTGATAAACAACCAGAAACAACTATTGAGTTTCTGCTTAATTAAGAACCCTAAACTTAGATATATGGTTTTGGTTGTTGAGTCAATTAGACCCATGCCCATTTCAAGCCTATGTTTCTAAAAAAATGTAGTTATTTTATAATATTTGGTCAAGTTAGCTGGTTAACTCAATGATCCTGCTTTGTGGTTTACCCCTATGATAAACAACAATTTGGGATTACGCCTTACTTGGCCCCTCCATTAGGCTCATTTTAGGCAGATCTGACATGACTGGGTAGGTGTCAGCTATGTAGTGGAATCCTTGCTTTTACCTATCCGACAGTGTTAGATGATGTTAGACTTCAAGGAAGGGAAGAAGGAAGGATTATTCAAGTATTCCCTCTGGACCACTGTGTGTGGGGTACTATGTTAGTCTGAATGGCTTTGAACCACGTTTACATTCATACACCTTGTATCTCAGGTTGGGATAGGGACTTTGATAGCTGATAGATTGGTGTTATATTCCATAGGGCCCTTGTTCCAATAGAATCCCCAGCCTAATATTGTAGGAAAATCTCAACTTTTCACTGTGTTCCCCACCATGTTGCAGTGCACTACATTTGACCATACAGTAGCCTATAGTTGTGTCATCAAAGACTATGAGCTATGAGTGAAGACAGCCTACATCATGACTTGAGAGGCAACAAGAGGCCTATTCTCCGTTTTTTATTAGTGTTTCTCAAATGGTGGGTCAGGAGGCCCAGCTGCTGGTCTCTGCTAAAGCGTGTAGGCCCAAATATTGATTTGTTTATCAGGTAGGTCATAGCTTGGAGATCTACTGTAATCCATTGGCAATTCATCCACCTTATGTCCAACAATGATGTGGTTGTAATCCAAAGCCAGACCAACAGTCATGAGGGCCTAACTGTCTTGTGTTAATGTTTTTACTCTGTGATGATGGAGTGATTTTGGAAAATGAATACCATAGGACCACATTTTACATGTTCTTTCACCATTTATTTGTTCACCAAATACAGTGAAAATGGCATCATAATATACAATGACTCATTCTTAGAATGTCATGACACTGTTGCTTTTTTGCTTCATAAAACAATGTTTCATTAATGAAAATAATAGTAAGGTCATGCACAACAAACCATATTGAGTTTCCTTAAAAGAATGGTACAAGATAAACTAAATAAAAAAACAACTGTAATGTCCAAAATCTGTCAAAATTCAACGTGTTATTTGAGGATCCTCGTAAACAGTGCAACATACAAAAAAATTGCAATTTTCTAACAAATTCATCAACGAAGCTCAAGTCACAGGATACAATTTCTCAATAATAGTGTAACATTGATGTGTGCAAAACCCCAAACACATTCAGTTAGTCTTAAAAAAAAAAATGTCAGCCCCCTTGATATAGAATGACAAAAGTCTAAACCCAAATCTCTTAGATTCTCTGTTAGGCCTATATAGTCTCAATATGCTGTCCTCTCTATAGTACAAACATTTGTGTTGATGAATTGTAAGACGGTAGACTAGCACATCATTTTTAAATAACAATTGTTTAGATATAAAAATACAAATATGGATTTTGTTAAAAAGAAGCGTGCCAGGGTAAGAGTGGTGGCACCTGTATTGGCACCAGAGTGAAAGTTCATGCAAATAGATGGAGAAAATAGTGGACTTTTAATTATAGAAGACAAAAAACACAAATAATTGCAAAATCTAAATAAATAATAAAACAATATTTTCCCATCAATTTCATGACTATTGTTTCAAACATAATTTGCCCATCTCGCCTCCTTCGATATTTCGAGAGTCTGTAAAAAGTGAAACAGCTATGTGCAGGTGTCGGTAGGCTTAATGAAGGCGCCGACCTGCATCGTTAACCGTGGGGGGTAATGTAACACCATGTATCAATTTCATTCAATTGAACCTGGGGACTATGCATTACTAGCTTATTCTTTACAGGTGAGGCCAAAATGAATATAGGCATACGAAAGGAAATATTAACATTGCACCATCCTTGGTGTAGGTATATATACTGTATATGTATCTATATTTGTTTTAAATACAATAGGTCTCTTCTAGTTACTGGACTTCAGTGTTTGGTTTGTCAGTATTAAAAAGCTTTAGCAGCAATCGGAATGCATTCTCTACGTTCGACCAGTGCTGAAAAGGACAGCTCCCTTGAATGTGACGTCGCCGATTGTTATCAACAATGCAAAGCCTGTAAGGGGAATATGGTCTTCGAGCTTAGGTAGGCTACTGTATTCAACTATAGAAATAGAGCTTGAAATGAGATTCAGCCACCAGTTGTAGTTTTTTGTTGCTTACGGCGCTTTTGGAAGATGGTTGTGAAAGACTGGCAAGTTCATCCATCAAAGACAGGGTCTGCCATCTCAACATCACGCTGCGCAGCAGAAGTTAAAATGGGTTTTCGTTTTGAAGAATTGCCAGCAAACCCATGATAAATCTCTATATTTTCTGGAGTCTTGCTCAAACTCTTCCTCTGCTTTCTTGTCCAATCTTCACATCGTTCTTTCCATTCCTTTCCTTCTCCTTGTCTTCGCTTCGTGCCATCGTTTCTCCTACAATCCTCGAACATGCACAACCGACAAGTGCTTTAAATCGTTGATCAAAATAAAAAGTTTGCAAGGCATCGTTCATCTTTAAACACCAGGTGATGACTTGTCTGCCATCCCCTTTAGGACATCGTCTATTCGGTCATCTTCGATGACCACTGCGGAGGGAAGAATAAATTATATTAATGTTTATTACTGACATGTCATATAACTGTTTCATAAAGCTGTTTTACAGACAACAAATCAAGTAATTGCAAAGGCTTTGAGTAAATAGGATGGGGAATTGTGCAACACAAAGGAATATGTTGTTGTGTCAAACCCCTGACCTTGGTCCTGAAATACTGCAAACAATGGTTTGTACATAACGGTACATAGCCAAGCATGCAATGAGGACAATTTGCCATTTAAAAAAGACAGAGCATAACTAATGTAGAAATATAGTAGACTATAGCTACTGAAATACATTTTGATATCACATCAGTAGTCTATTATTCTCATGCATCACTTTCAACTGGGCTCAATGTGGTCAGCTGCTGACCTTTGTTATATCAACAAATATTTGCCACATAATTTAGAGGTCAAATGCATATCTGTGTTTTATCTTTTGCATTTCAGTGTTTTATAACAAGTAGGTTAGGTAACTGTAGCCTAGGTTAGAGTTAAAGTTCACCCAAGCATGCCTGGGTGGCCAAGCCTTTGTTTTTGATGACCAAAACAAAACCTTTATTCAACAATGCATCACTTACCTCTCTTGGCTCTGCCGATCTGTCCCAGTTTTGGGGGTCTTTTCGCTTGCGACGCCCCGAAGAACGAATTGGTGTCCTGTAGCCCGCAGCTAAAGGACATCTGACTGGCCTCGCTGTCCCCATAGCCGTTCATTTTCCCCTCGCTGTAAGGCAGTACCTCGGACATTATGACGGTTTGGATTCGGCGACTATAGTCGTTATAGCCCAGAAGTCCTTGACTTGGTAATTGCACTTGTCGAGCTTTCCGGTGGAAATCCCTTTGGAAAATCAATCGATGATTTCGTCGTGCGTAACCAGTCTGCGAAGGATGAAGGTGTGAGTCCTGGTTGAGGTGTCCTGGTGCGGGGTGGTTACAGGCTGCTGTGTCGCTGGTCGAAAGGAGAGCAGAGCAGGAGCGGTCTGTTCGCATGTGTTGCTAGATGAAGTCTGATGTGGAAAGTGGGAGATCCCGGGATCATAAAGGAAACCCAGGAGGAACGGTGAAGTTATCCATCTGCGTGTGTGTGTATGTATGTGTGTGTGCTGGGGGACTCCGAATGCTGGAGGAGTAGGCTAAGGGTGACATCAACAGGCGAGATATATAATACGTGCTGTGGAGGTAGCAGAAATGTAGGCTACAAATTCATGATCACAGAGCTAGAGCTACTGGAGCAACGGTGAGGTAAAGCTTTTATTTGGGCGTAATATTTTCAATGCTGAACACATTTGTAGCCTAAATAAGTTCTTACAATGTGATGATATTTACGCACAGGCTATACCTAAGTAGGCTAATTATATTTAATATGAGAATTATGAAAATAACCTACTCGCTCAATTGAACATAATGCTACAGTTATTGGAATAGCGTCATGTTTTTTTTTTTACCTATTATGCTTGACATTGTAATGTGTTTCTCTTCTCTTATGCAGAATATTTACTTCCTGTAAACCAGCCTCCTTGGTGGCTCTTGCTTGACATTGGCTCTGGTGACATGAGGTTCTCACAGGAAATCATTACCTGCTCCTTTGTGCGTCTGTCTGCGCACAGAAGTCGGAAGTGCCTCTGAAATTACTCACGCACAGTGATGAAGTATCCACTAATAATATTATAGACTAGTTATTTCATAGAGGGTTGTTTGAAAACATGCAGTTCAATATCGATTCATGGTTTTTGCAGGATGCTCTCTGGTTAGGCGAGGGAGGGAGGTATACTGTAAATGCACAAGATAAGTCAACTTCAGCACCATGGACAGCACCCGCGCATTTTTGCGTCTTTTGTGCTTACATTTACATTTTAGTCATTTAGCAGACGCTCTTATCCAGAGCGACTTACAGTTAGTGAATGCATACATTTTCATACTGGCCCCCCTGGCCCCCCGTGAGAAACGAACCGACAACCTTGGCGTTGCAAGCGCCTTGCTCTACCAACTGAGCTACATGGTGGGCTGCTATGTTTTGTTGTGACAATAGAAATATAACCGAAATAAAGTTGGTTTTATATTCGAAGTTCAACAGACATTCAACAGACATTCGCCAAATCATATAAAATGCATTTAATTCCCTTATCCACAATAACTTATCATTGGATTGTCTTAGAAACATTAAACAAAATGCAAATAAGTCTAAAAAGGCCTAATTTACAACCTTTGATTTGCATAAAAATTAGAAATACATCAAATCATAAATATTTATTATCCCTAATAACTTTTTCAGGGATTTTTCAAAAAATATTAAATGGTGAAGCTTGCATTCAATTGCCACTCCCTGTTGTACACAACAAACTTCAATTTCCCCTGTCACAAGTGGAATTATGGCTGTTATGGTCGACCTTGTTATTTTATCTGGTACTTAATAAGCACTTACTATAGGCCTTTTTTATTTAACCTCTTGAGATGGGATTTTTTGATTTTTTTATGAAGTTGAACATGTGCTATTTATGACACAATGTTAAAATTAGGTCCTACAGTCCTCGCAAACCATGGTTACTGTCCTCGCAAACCATGGGTGCATCTCAATCTCAGTAGTCTAAAGTGTCCATCTGTCTCTGACCAGTCGTAACCATGACTGGCCCATGTGTTACAGTCTGTAAGACTGGAATCTTCAGTTGCTCAGCTGTAGCTTAGGGTGTTGGTGAATAGGAGAGTGTGGCTGTCACACTACCGCTGGAAACTGGGACAGGGATAACACGTTTTACACAGTGCCACGCCGTCAGGCTAGATGGGTAAGTGGTTAGGGCTAACTGGAGGGGGCTGGAGAGGTCCAACGGCTGCACGCTCCCAAGATGCTGCCTCATGCCCTGGGTGCATCTCAATAGTCCAAAGTAGATGAGGTAGCTTAGTGGGTAAGAGCGTTGTGCCAGTAACCGAAAGGTCGCTGGTTCTAATCCCCGGGCCGACTAGGTGAAAAATCTGTCGATGTGCCCTTAAGCAAGGCACTTAACCCTAAATGCTCCTGTAAGTCGCTCTAGATAAGAGCGTCTGCTAAATGACTAAAATGTAGATCCTTGTCTCCTTTCCTTTCATCTGTAGCCTATTGATGTGGGAAAATGTGGGCAAGTCAAGATACAGGCCTAAAGGCAACCATCATATTGCTTTCAAATGTCCTTCATGTGTTTTTGGATCAGTGCAGATGAAGTAGAGGAAACGAGGAACGCAAACCACCTCAAACTAATGAGAAGAACACTGTCTCTCTGCCTGGCTGGTAGCTGCCTGTATTTGTATATCTAGCAGACTACCACAATAGCCCCTCCAAAGACTGCTTTCCTCGTTCATCAGAAAACAAGCAGGTTTAAAGGTTGTGTTTGAAGTATAGGATTTCATTCCCACCGGACACTGAGGCAGAATATAAATGCACGTTTAGCTGTGGGGAGTGTGAGGTACAGGCGGCGTACACGCACAACACAACCTGACACACACACACACAATGGAACATCTGTCGCCGTGCCCTAACGACCTCCTCCCGGGATTCTAGCGGTATGGTACACTATGTTAATGCACCTTAGTGCTGTAGCGCAGATGAAACAATAGCTGCCTGCTACATTGAATTAGCTCTGCTCCAGTCAGTATCACAACATGTGCCTGGCCTGTATACCAGAGCCACTGAGCAAGAGATGCTAACTGTCACATCAGAGACGTGCAGGAGTTATATCACTATAAAATATGAAATAAATTATTGAATGTGATGAAGTGTGATTAAAGAACAGGAGTGGCCCAAATGTGTCCATTTTAGGAGTGTGTGTGGAGGGGGAGGGCGTGTGTGTGTGGTAATTTAACAGGCTTTGATAAACAGGCCTATAGCCTACAGCTATAGATAATATTCTTGTAGATACTAGATATAATATGTTTTAAGTGGGATGATGACCTTTGACCTTACTGTCAACAAGCTCTTCAAGAAACAGAACAGCAGGAATGCAAGCCCAGACCGGGTCTTCCCAGCCACACTAAAGCACTGCGCTGACCAGCTCTCCACTTTATTCACGGACATCTTTAACCAATCACAATTCCTGACATTTAATCCCAGTATGAAACATTTATGCACTCACTAACTGTAAGTCGCTCTGGATAAGACCGTCTGCTAAATGACTAAAATGTCAGCTTTTTTCTTTCATCACATTCCCAGTGGGTCAGAAGTTTACATGCACTCAATTAGTATTTGGTAGCATAGCCTTTAAATTGTTTAACTTGGGTCAAACGTTTCGGGTGGCCTTCCACAAGCTTCCCACAATAAGTTGGGTGAATTTTGGCCCATTCCTCCTGACAGAGCTGGTGTAACGCAGTCAGGTTTGTAGGCCTCCTAGCTCGTACACGCTTTTTCAGTTCTGCCCACAAATTTTCTATAGGATTGAGGTCAGGGCTTTGTGATGGCCACTCCAATACCTTGACTTTGTTGTCCTTAAGCCATTTTGCCACAACGTTGGAAATATGCTTGGGGTCATTGTCCATTTGGAAGACCCATTTGCGACCAAGCTTTAACTTCTTGACTGATGTCTTGAGGTGTTGCTTCAATATATCCACATCATTTTCCTTCCTCATGATGCCATCTATTTTGTGAAGTGCACCAGTCCCTCCTGCAGCAAAGCACCCCCACAGCATGATGCTGCCACCCCCGTGCTTCCGTGGTTTTGGAGCAGTGACTTCTTCCTTGCTGAGCGGCCTTTCAGGTTATGTTGATATAGGACTCGTTTTACTGTGGATATAGATACTTTTGTACCTGTTTCCTCCAGCATCTTCACAAGGTCCTTTGCTGTTGTTATGGGATTGATTTGCACTTTTCGCACCAAAGTACGTTCATCTCTAGGAGACAGAACGGTATGACGGCTGCGTGGTCCCATGGTGTTTATACTTGCGTATTATTGTTTGTACAGATGAACGTGGTACCTTCAGGCGTTTGGAAATTGCTCCCAAGGATGAACCAGACTTGTGGAGGTTTACAAAACATTTTCTGAGGTCTTGGCTGATTTCTTTTGATTTTCCCATGATGTCAAGCAAAGAGGCACTGAGTTTGAAGGTAGGCCTTGAAATACATCTACAGGTACACCTCCAATTGACTCAAATTATGTCAATTAGCCTATCAGAAGCTTCTAAAGCCATGACATCATTTTCTGGAATTTTCCAAGCTGTTTGAAGGCACAGTCAACTTAGTGTTTGTAAACTTCTGACCCACTGGAATTGTGATACAGTGAATTAAGTGAAATAATCTGTCTGTAAACAATTGTTGGAAAAATTACTTGTGTCATTCACAAAGTAGATGTGCTAACCGACTTGCCAAAACTATAGTTTGTTAACAAGAAATGTGTGCAGTGGTTGAAAAACTAGTTTTAATGACTCCAACCTAAGTGTATGTAAACGTTTGACTTCAACTGTAGCAGCGGGGGATGGGGACGGGGACCTCGTTATCGATGAGGAAGATGACAAGGGCATGGACCGTCTTTTCCACCTAGACGAGGAAAAGGATGAAGAGGATGCTCAAGCCCAAGGCTTGCAGACCTGGATACCGTGGCAACCCGGTCTACCTCTCCACAAGCCAAGGTCCTTAGCGACGCAGCAGGCAGCGAGCCCACAGTTCGGGTCTCCCAACAGGGGAAGCCGCATCGAAGTCCCATCCATTTGATTCCCCTGGGGGGGGGGAAGGGGCGTCTGACCTAGGGGTACGTCCCCAGCAGCAAAGAGGGGCAACAAACAGTTCACGC